CGGCGTAGTACTGAATAGGAGTGTAGGTAAGGAAAGATGATGATCAGGGTCAGGGATCAAAAGATCGGAAGAAAGTTGGACGAACTAGCAACACGCGCGGATGGTAGTCTTTGGTCGATCCGTTCAGTCCAACGGGGGAGTGGTCGTCTATTTGGACGTTGAACGTTCCGTGGTCGTTGAGCGTCCCTCCGTATAGGTAGATTCCGCTCCCTTCGAATGTGAGGGAGGCGGCTGCTCCGGCGACGTTTGTGATGCTAGATGGGGTTTAGCGCAAGTATTGGTAGGGATAGTTATGACGTACTGTTCTGTTTTGTTGTAATAGTCGACCATGTAGGATGAGGATGTGGTCCAGGCTGCGCCAGGAGTGGTATAGGTAAACGCTCCGTCATCGAGGGTTATGTTAGAGGTGCCGCTGCAGAGAAGGCTCGTAAGTGGACATAAGGACATGAGAAGGTTGTTGGGGACTCACGCCACGTCGTTGGAGGTCCATGTGATGAAATCAATGTCGACGTATGGCCTCGTCGTGTCCGTACCAATATCATTCGTCAACACCACAGTGTGCATCCCATCCGAAAGACCCGTTTGTGCAAACAACGGCTACTCCACCATCAACAAACGCTTCACCCAAGAACAAGCAGGAGACTCACCACTTGGTAAACACCATCGGTCCCATCGGACTGAGTCGGAGCATAGCCATCGAACCGCTGCGCTTGGTTGTTGTCTACAGTGACGAGGTAATGACCGTGATTGCCACGCTTGGCTCCAAAAATGTACACCGCGGTTCCGTTGAAGGTAAACGATGCCTATCCATTACTCCGTCAACCAGCATCCTCGAAATAAGCCGAGTCGCGCCAACTTACCTGAGACCCGTCACTCTGAGTTGCATGGAACGATTCTCCCAAGTATCGATTCGTGTACGGATCCCCACTCTTGTACGAGTCGTCCCATTGGCCCTTGTAGGTGATGAGAGGGGAGAGGTCGTCTATGGTGACGTTGTAAGGCATGGTGGTGGGCGAGAGAGAAAGAACAGTCAGCCAGCTAACTGCTTCTCAACTTGATTCTCGATTCGAAATCGCGGGCGCTAGAGAAGGCTGGTTCCTGCGCTCCAAGCTGCGCAAAACTGGCACCGCTAAACTCGAGTGGAGCCTAGGATCTCTGTACTTTTGTTGTTGTGCGGATTTTGTAGCAAGAAGCAAAATAAAAGAGACGAGAGTAGACAGGAAAGAGAGAACGCGTACACCAAAGACAGCTCGCTGGTGGTCGCAAGTGCAAACTCTGGATTCCGTTGCGCTGTCAAGTGGTACGAATGCGGTCATATCGGCCAGAAGAGGCAGGCGCGCGATCTGATTGGCTCCCGCCCTGGATGCTTTGATGTACAGCCACTCTACGCGCGCGGGTCATAAAACCAATGATCGTTGTCGCGGTACCTCCACATGTGCTGACAATGAAATCTGCCGATCCTCATTCTTATAACTTAGAGTAATGTATAATAATATAACTCAAACTAGGCCTTTCCGACGAGGCTAAGTCGACCTCACGTTTCTCGATGACGACCACCCTATCTTAATCTGCGGCGCCCTATGCTAGTTACCTTATCAGCTCTGGGTGCGCCACAGCAGCACCAACAAAAACTGTATTTTATCTGAATAGGATCGCACTGCCGTCAGAGGCACTGCATGCACGCACGCTCGCAGCCAATTAGTTTCTGGATTTGATAGCTTTTACCACTTGTATGCGCGCTTTCAGTTTCACCCAGTCCGTGACCCATTGGGACTTCGAAGAATCCTCTTCTGGACCAACCACATTGCCATCGATTTTAGCCCATAATGTCATTTCAGTAGATTACTTCACAAATTTATTGTTCATTCGTTACTTCAGTCTGTTTCCTTTCCCCAATTGCCCACGCGCGAAGTTGTCGGGCATCCCGCCGAGGGCGGCGACGAGAACTTAGTCTCAACAAACACCTTCTCAACACCATTAATCCGCTTATCAAAGGCCACGTAGAGTTTCGCCCTGTAGGTATCTCTCTCTCAGCAATAATTCTTGAAATTAATGCAGACTCAACTCACATATCCTCAATGGGGACTCCGTGGGTGATTATGCTATGTAAATGCATTAGCCAGTCAGCTCGTCACTCAACCAGCCTGACCGACCAACTCACAAAGTGGGATCGAACTTCCCAAGAATAACATAATCATTCAAGATCTCCTCCCAATACTTATGCACGGGACATTGACCGTTCCCGATAAACCAAATGCCTTTTTCCATCAAGGTCCCAATCATAAAGTCATTCGTCACACCCACACAGTCACCAATAATCCCACACCAACCTTGCGGCCCGATTTGATCATCTCGTTGACTATCTCAGACAAGCCCGTCTCGAGCATGAGCGCCCTCTGAACGCACCCATTGGCCAATGGGTCCCAAGCCCTTGAGACATGTCGTCAATAAACACTATAGCTGGATATGCGAGCAGAGAGCCCAACCAAACAGCAACGATGTCTCCTTCCTCTACGCCAGTGTCGACGAGGCAATGATAGCTGGTGGGGAGTACTGTACTATTACGATCAAAGCGGCGGTCCCTGTCCCCTCAGAAATCGACGCGACGCGAGATTTTGATCTGTCCCCTGTCCCCCTCCCGGCCGACGCAGGGGGACAATGTTACCTATATGCAGCAATCTTTCCTGCTCCAAAGTTACATGTAGCTATGTAGCTATAATGATTGTAAATCACTGGTAAATACTGTTACAATAGCTGCTCAAATACTATCTACATTCTACAAGCTCGAGAGGTCTTAGAAGAACACTTAGACAAGCAATCAGGTTTGCTGTACTCTTGCCCCTCGCCTCTGAACCCATCAAGATCATCATTTTCGTTTGCAAGCAAATCAGGAAGCCTGCCAAGGTGAGTCGCATTCAGGACATGTCCAATCAGCTCGGGAACGGTGAGGTCGCAATCGAGCTCAGGGCAACCCAATTTGGGCTCCAGATTGTCCTCATCTACATCCGAGGGAGCTTCAGCCTCTCCGGGTAGAAGCTGTTTAAAGAGCGCGGGGTCTGAGGAGCGTAGGCCGGCGAGGGCTTGTCGAGTTTGTCGGCTAGTCAGACTTTCAAATAAGAGAGTGAAGCTGTCTCGGGAACTACACAAAGATCAAATGCCTAAATCGAAGCAATTAGAATGGACTGCCGGCACTGAAACCCATGGTACTCACTTTTTTGATTCACTTGGGGTCGTTAATAGCATTGTAACCTTCGACTAGCCAGCGTACACTGCGGTTACGGAGAGTCTTGATTGTGTGGTCATTAACTACGCCCGATGGGGTGCATCCTGCGATCAGAGCTTTAGATGTCTCCTCTACAATAACTGCATGAGCTGCGCGGCCAGATCGGAATATCTTTGACAAATTGTTGTTTCTGTCATGATTGTCACGAGAGCGCAATGACACGGCTATGTGTCATTTATTAAATTATCTGCAAACCAGTTTACGACTGTCTGTCAAAATCGACGCCGTTGTGTTTCAGTCCCCTGTCCCCCGGCTGCACGACGCGGGGGGACAGTGCAATCAACCAGGGCAAACAAGGATAAGCGCTTGGCGCCTTTATGTAAGCGACGCATTGATCGTAATGGTACAGTATGTTAGAAAGGTAGAGTACCTTCTCGTCTGGTAGTCATCGGGGATGGCGACAAGGTTGTTGGTGCCGTATGGCACCTAAAGTATGATAGATTCAACACAGCGGTACGAATGCGCACAATATGTGATAAACCTGCCTTAACATATTCCGCTTGTAAGGTGGGGGTGGCCAAAGACGCCCGCAATACGGTGCCCACACAGGTTCTCCATTAGCCTTTACAGAACAAATTAAGCTTAGTACAAAATTGGGCTGTTTGAATGGAAACGGTACGAACGGGCTGTCGTTTGTCCGGTCGCACATTGTAACGAGCATTTTCTTGCAGTACTCGCACTGTCCGCACGCAATACGGAAAGAAGCTACGGCACGCTGGCTAGGTTTGGTGTTCGCCACACCATCCCCAACCCGATCGACGACGCCCATAAACTATTAACCCTCATCAGATAAACCACTTGACCACAAAATGATGGTATGAAACAAACCTTGTGTCCAAGAATATCTCCCTTTTGCAAAGGTCCAATCTCTCGATGAAACAAATGCGAGTCTAATCCACAGGCTGCCATACCAGTCACTTTAACTATGACGTCGTTCTAGGAAGGCTCAATTAGCCGACTGGGATACACGAGTGTTGAGCTAATTACTGACTGGGTGATGTAGGGAACGGGTGCTTCAATCATGCGCACATCGCCGTTTCCGAACCAAGCCAGTGCTTTCATGGCCGAGCCGTCCTCTCGTTCCTTGTGGCCTTTTTCGACAGGTGCATCAACGGAGCCCAACGCATATTATACCAGTCATCGTCAACTACAGAGCGGGGAACAAGAAACAGTGGACGTACGCCCTGGACGATATTTGCTGCAGTCTGCATTTTGATATCACTGTAGAAATGACAGAATAAACCGCGACGTTGCTAGGCGATTAGGTTGTATAAACCTCGCCCAGAGCTGAACCATCACCAGCTCATTCCAACAAGATTGACGTCGAAGCCGCCATCCAATAAGTGTTCGGGGGCGCAGCGCAGCGGATGGAACCGACAAATCATCACGCATCATCATGGTCATAAATGACTATACAAGCCATCAGAAGAATGTGCGCCCACCATCGGTACTTTATAGCACCACTTAGCGCCCGTAGTTGATGCTGTCGTCGAGTTTTGGTTGACTTGCGTTTTACGGCTGAGCTCTTTGCTTAAATATTGTTGTAGGATATGAAAAGAAGATATAATTCTTCGCAAGTTCTGCGAGGAACCCTGCGAGAAAAAGATGATATGGAACGTCAAATTCATAACAACACCGCGTTAGTTAAACACTTCGACCTTGTGGCAGTTAGCTGCTTCAACTGCATGATTTCTATTTGACATGTGTGGCAAAAATCTGGACACACAGGGGATCGAACCCTGGGCCGCCTCAAGACGCATACATATGCAAATGAGGCGTGATACCACTACACCATATGCCCTAAGAAGATGCTGATTGTCGGCCGGATCCGATCGCCGAATATGACTTGGCCTATAATCCCATCAGAGCGCCAGCTGCCGACTTCCAAGTACGGTTACTGTCCTTTGGTTCTGCTATGTTTGGATATTCTTAGCCGGCTCGACCCTACTATAGATGAGCTTGGCAGCATCCTGGAGTATCGCCCCTGGTTGCAACTAGCACCCACCTGACAGCTTTCAACTTTGTTTTTGACTCAGATCCAGTACGTGTTATGTTACCCAGTGTGAAGAAGTCCTACTGATCCCCTGAGCCTCGACTATGAAGGGTGCGCCCGGAGACATTGTGATAACAGTAAGGGTAGACTGGCAGCAACACTTTGAGAACTACCAGAAGAACTACTATTGGGGAATCCCCCGCCCAAAGGCCAAGCGTGAGTTCTGCTACCTTGCATTCTAGCTCTAAATTTTCTGACTGATATTTTGGCTCGCTCGTACAGCTAGTGAACAGCCCGTGTTCCTCGTTCAATAGTGGTATCTCGGCAGTCCCTCTCCGCCAGACTCTCACATCAGCAGAATAGCTCCCAAAGGTGCGATAATAGTTTTCTGGAAAGTCGGTCGAAGCTGTGCCCTAACACCCAAGATATGCATGCAGTTGGTGCCTTCTACGAGTTCACAGCCAACGACAGGGCCTACTATGGACAGAGGAACACAGAAGGTGATGGGTGCTTCATCGCCCACCGTGACGCAGGGCGTGGCCCGAACCAGGCATGTACATTGGATGCAAAAATCCTCGAATGGTTCTCCTGCTGAATCCTGCTGTGCATCTTTAGAAAGATTTCATGGCCCCAGGGAAAGGAGCGGGAGGCAAGGTGTTAGAGAATTTTGGCATGTCGGACGATGGTATCAAGAACTTGTCGGGCCGGTTCGATTATTTCTTTGGTGATACGCCCTTGAAGTTTTGAGATCAGGCTGTAGCGGATTGAGTTCCCTCATTAGTTCTCATCTATCTCGTAATGAATATTTCCTGCTCCAAACACGAGGTCTCATACATCTCGAAGCGAAGTCAGCTCAGTTGTGTGGCTTTTTGGGGGGCGGAGATGTTCTCAAAAGCTAGTTGAATGAAAGATAAGAGGGCCACTGGATGGTGATACACACACGCACACACGCAGTCATTTTGTAGCTCAATGTTAGAGTGCTGTGACAGGAGATCTTCAAAGCGAACGAATGCACACCAGTCGTCAAGTTAAATCTCGGGCCGAGAAGTTGTAGGGCAGATTGCTTATTGTAGCGAACAGATCCAACCATACCGTCATTTAGGGCAAAGGCCACCCGTTAGGTAAAGGCGCCGAAATCCTTTGAGCAGGCCCTTGGAGCCAACGACGCTGATGCGAATGATAAGGCAAAGTTTTTCACTGTTTCAGCTTGGTTACTCGTTAGGGCAATCAAACTGCAAACCCCCAATTCAGTACGAGGAAATTCGGGGGCGACGGTGTGACAGGTTTCAGCTTCCAGAAGAACTTCTGTAGAGAGCTCCAGGCACAAGATTCAATTGATCGGATGATCGGCTGGTGGACATGCCCGTTTTCTATTCAATGCGGTGGGAAAATGTGGTCTCTGATTCAAGTATATATGAGCTACGCAATATGGGTGCTGCACCATTCTCCCTCACTACGATTTTACATCTTTCCGTAATGCCCTCTCTTGGTATTAGCTTTGACTATCCTATTACACGGTTAGTAAAGCGTCATTCTCTACCATACATTTTTACCTCGAAGTGGCATTGACGCTTGCTCCACAGGCCTTATCCGTGGAGGTTCACCACTACATTTATCATTCTTCTATCTATAACGGTGTTCTCTGGGCTACTTTATTTCAACTGTTAGTGCACGAATTTAAACCCCTGGAGGTAGCCAACTAGCAAAATCAGTACTCGTTGTAGGGCTGAGCACCTTCTCTTACTTATCGACAACGTTTGAGGAGCCAAAGAACCCTTCATGGACAGACCGCATGAATATTGAGAAAAGTTGTTAGTACCCGTTCTGAAATTTCTTTCTTTCCTTTGACCAGTCGACCTCACACACCTCTCCGGTAGTGAACATGACCCTTGGATGTGATTCTACAACGCTCGTATCTGGTGGCACGTATAGAACCCCGGTGGGCACCGACATCAGTTTCAATAACCCCGCTCTTACTTATTCGCTTCTACTCACTTGGACAGAACGGCGCATTCACGTACACAATCCAGAACTTTGTTGAGAAACAGAGTCGGGACGTTTTCTCTGGCTTAAGCTATAATGGGACATCCCTTGACAATTGCTTCGTCCAAAGAATGGGAATGTTCGCAAACTATGTCAGCTATGACGCGCTGTTCGAGGTTAGTAAACTTAGTCCCTGTAGGCGCAACCGATTTGACGTTGTACTCAAGGCAACAATCAACTGTACATTAGCCGGCAACGTCGAGCTCATCGCGACTACACCAACCCTTGTAACTCTGCGCGCAGATGCCGAATCGAGTATCGCGAAGCGCTTTGAGTCTGAGCTCCTTCGTAAAGGTACCCGGTCGACTTACATGGCTCCGGCAATCTCTCGGCTATTGGTGGCGTTTGGGCTAGACTTCATCAACCAATTCTTGCCTGAAATTCCTGGGCAATTCGGCGACCGACCTATTACGACCGTTTATTCCGCCTTTGAGATACAAAAGAGCCATGAGATTTTCTACAACGATGGGACGTGGTCGGCGCAGGGTGTTGTTGGTCAAAACCCAAGGCTCACTGAAGGATACAGGTAGGCCAACATCAGGCCCTTTCATATTAGCGTAGTGCCCTAACTCTCAACTCGCAGCAACAAAAGCATTGGAGTATTCGAGAACTTTGCACAGGTGCTATGGTCGGCGATCCTTTCGGACCTCGGAGCGAGTTCTTCACTCAATATACTCACAAACGTTGATCTCATGAATCAAGTTATCCACCTGAACCTGGATGTCCCTCAAGGTATCACATATAACTGGATCAATGGCACTGCGGCGGATTACGTTATGGGAAATTTAACTGTGTTCAGTTTGCCGTTCAATGAGACTCAGCCAGTCCCATTCAACGCCCGCTATCTGTGCCACAACCTGTGGTGGAAAACGCCCACAAGTCTCGCCGTAGACGTGCTTGTGGCAACCGTCTCACTGTTCATGGTTTATTGGGGTTTGCTCCAGCTGACACTGAAATACTTTGCGACGAGGTCTTCTGCAAAGGGTGAGTCGTTTAATCAGCATTTCGAATAGATTTACTTAGTCTACTAATAACGGCACAGGCAACTTTTGCATTTGCCCCACGTGTAGCAGCAGCGTTTCTGAAGATATAGCTCTCCTGGCTAAATCCAAGCAGCCGCCTTCAACGGATTCACGCTCCGAGTATGCATCTTTGTCTACTTTCCCACGGTTCGATAGTTTGGCCACGGATGTTGGGCCAACCAAATAATGTCGTCTTTCTCATCTTGGACATTCACGCCGGTCTTCCATTATACCATGTTCTTGTTTATATGTCCGGGCGTTTGTATTACACAGTGTATCATAGACGCATATCGTCTTGTACTTTGCTGAAACACAGTCACCCATGCTTACTTCTCGGTCAAAACTGTTTGGAACAACACGGAAGACATGAAGCTGCGCAGGAGAAATGTACATTGATTTTACGTAGTACTCGACGATGGAATGACCTACAACAACGCCCTATAATGAATCCATGTTATTGTATGGCTCTTCATCCAGGAATTCCACCGTTGTCAAGTATAGTAAGTTCTACGTCATACTAGACCGAACGATCGATGTTATACCGACTGTAGAATTGACAAACTGTTTGGTGATGTACAGAGCGTGAGGTATTATATATGGAGAAAAAGTGATAGTATTGTTCTAAGATAGCTGTCAAACTCGACCAATAACCCATTTCGACTCTTCAAGACGTGTGGCTCTACTATATGCGCGTCTTTTGCGATATTATCTCCCCTGTTCGATAGCCTCTTCTAGTCGGAGGCTTATGAACGATAATCAGATTGAGATCTGTTCAACCGCTCGTATGTATCACGCTCACAAAGCATCCGAACCATAGATATCAATTCAGGGATTGTAGCACGTAAAGCTACCCTATAGAAACATGAGTTAAGATGAGTAGAATAGCACGGGGGCCAACTAATCAAACGTCAGGCTCCTATGCGCTACCTCGCACCCCTAATCATAAGTGGGGGATTGTATATTCTCAAACGCCGAAATTTGTGCGGTCCCTAAATTATTCGCTTTGTGCAGGCGCCGAATCCATGCCCTTTTGAAAGGCTCTGTGCTGTATGTCACTGATGTAGTTTGTGTTGCCTTGGGCATTGACCTCAGACGTGTCGACGCAATTCGCAATCTTGGCTTCGATTTCGGAGCTCACGCGAAGTATCAAGTGACTAACCAATCCTGACTCTTCAGACTTATTCAATGGTAGGGGTATCATTCTGGTATCCGTAAGTACATGTTCATGAGGGCCCGTGTCATAATAATAGAATAAAAATCCAGCGAAATCATAGATAATACAATCCTCTACTGCCTCGTTGCACTTCTAAACTTGACCCACATACCACCCTATCAAAATGCCATCAGCACACGCGCTTAGTTGGCCACATAGTGGGCGGAACTCACGTGAGAATATAAAGTAACAGCACTCTTCGGCCAGATTTTCTCCAATGGTTTGCGGCCCGTTCCATGTGCCCACTCGGCAGGAGGACAAGAGCCAGCAGGCGCGGCGTCCATCGCCAACTCGAATCGGCTAAAGTTTTGCAACAGCCTCACGAGGACAAACGAGCCCTCGTTGATAGCAAATTGTTGTCCGAGACACTAACCTCAAGCAATTAGCATCAATGTTATCCAAGAGACAAAATGGACTTACGATCCTGGGGCCAGCATTAAAAGGAATAAACTTAAACGGATCCGAGATCACTTTCTTGTGCCTCGCATCCAACCACCTTAGCGGATCGAACAAATCCGCATCTGGACCCC